GGCCTAATATAGGGGCCTCAATGATTAGAATAGGGTTTTGGGGTACCTGATTGTATACTTATAATAAGGAACCCAAGGGAAAAATATTTCGAATTGTTTAGGCTTCTATATTAGGTCCTAATAAATCCAGAACCCACTGTGCCCCAAACCGTAAACTCTCCGACAGGTGGCTATCCTGCACGACCTCAACTCCACCAACGGTGCGCGGCTTGGATCCCTCCACCCGAAACCTCAAAAAACTACGCTCGAAATATCTTTAAATCTTAAAGCCTAGGCCGATTGCACCCTAAACGACAAAACGTTAAACCCTAACAAATACACCCTGAGCCCTACAACACACCCTAAGTCCTAAACCCTAAGAATAAATAACACACCCTGAGCCCTAAGGCCACTAGTGTTGAACTTGGCACACTTGCAATGTGAAGTTCCCTGCAGAGCCTTAGTAATTTGATCCTGAATCCCAAAGCCATCAAATCCCAAACAGCCCCTTAGCGTTTAGAACCTCGGCGTTGCTCTGCATTCGCACCGCCTTCAGACGCAGGGCCGTGTGCTGTAGCGCCGTGTCGCGACGACCGCCGGTGTCGTTTTTCTTGTCGTTCTCGCCTGTAGGCGAATGCCCCAGCACTTCTTTGGTGCTGTGTACTCTAGCTCGTTCGGGCGCTTAGAGAGCAGAACCTCGGCGTTTCGAGGCATAGGCCACTGAACGGAGTTCTGCAAAGTGAGCCACCACAGACACCTTCAGACAGGATGATGGTGTACAGTCGATACGACATTTCCATAGTCAAGAAAGCGCTGACAAACCCTGCGAGACCTCCTTACACACCATTGCTCTAAGCCTGTATGCCCCGTAATGAAGGGTTATTACCTTAAATCGTCAGAGTAAGCTCAACATATAATTTCAGGTATATTCCTTCGTTAAGGGGTTCTGCGGCTGAGCGGTAAAACCTAAACTCTAAACTCTCAGAACGTGCAATCCTTGTCTCATTGCATTGCCGACACTTCCGATGGCGTCTGTAACCGGTTGGAAGAGGTGTCTTGGAAGAGTCCGGTTTTGGGGCTTTAAGGTTTAGGGCTTAGGGCTTTTAGGTAGGGCTTTAGGGTTTAAGCCCTTTAAACCCTAAACCCTAAATCCTAAACCCTAAACCCTAAACCCCTAAACCCTTAGCCCTAAACCCTGAACCCGAAACACGAAACCCTAAACCCCGAAACCTTAAACCCTAAACCCTAAACCCAAAGCCCTAAACTAAACCCTAAACCCCTAAAGAAGGGGAGGGCCAGCCCGACGAACGGGACACCCACCACGACATGGCTAGTTCTCTAAATTAGGGTCCCCTTTAGGGTCCTTATTATAAGGGTGCTGTACTATATTGGGGACCTAAAAGGGGACTCTAATTTAGAGAACGACCCACGTGATCGAGGACGCTGCCGTCACTGGCTCCTCACGGAGTTCCTAGATCTTGAAGTCCTACCTCTCTTGAAATACCTCTTAACTAAGGGATATGGCCTTTAAGGGTTCCTTAAAGGGATCTATAAGGGAAGTAAGGAAGATACCTTGAACCACTTTAGGCAACCTACCCTAGTTGAAGCTAACGCGCACCCTCATGGCCATAGGGTTTTGCCAGGTTTGGGCGGGTTTTAGGCCTTTTTGGTTTGGGGGGTGGGACCCTAAACCCTAAACCCTAAACCGTGGGGTGGGGTGGGGGGTAATTCTGTCGACGGACCTACGTAAGTCGGGTGGCAGACGCCAAGAACAATAATAGATTTCCCACAGGCTCCATATATACTACCGTTCTGGAATTAGGTCCCTAACGCCATAATAAGTATGGTCTTTTGGGACTTAATTCCATAATGGTAGTATGTATGGAGCCTCTAGATTTGTGAAAAAAGGGGCCGGCTGCGCAGTTCGCATTCGGAATGTTTCAAATGTCCCACTGGGGCCAGTGTTTTCGCGCTTCGACACGCAATGACCCTGGCAAAAACGGTACTTTCTAAGCATACCCCACGAACATTTCTCCCACAACTGCACACAACCCCATGTTTACCGCGTTTTTGCATCTCTTATGCACCCATGGACCGTGCCAAACCGCATGGTCGTTAAGGCGCGCGTTACCTAGTTTACAGTACGCTATGTTTCTTGATTAAGGGATCTTGGAAGGTCTGGATTAGCCATCTCTCCACATTCGCCCTCAGCCCGGACCGTAAAGATATCTCATGCTATATGGGATCCCTCAACCCTAAGCCCTAAACTCTA